TTGCAAACGTTTTGTTACCCGGCTAGGTAACATCTTCAGTGCTAGTATTGCTCAAACCCCACTCCCTTCTAGCACTGAAGATGTTACCTAGCCAGGTAACAAAACGTTTGCAAGGAAACAACCAAGCTCAGAGAACCCCAAGGACTCCACATATCATTTAGTGCAGTATGCTAACTCAGCTACAGAAGACCATTTACTAATGTGTTTGTTACCAAAATGCTAGTGCTTTCATAAGGTGCATTCTTCTCAGTGTAAAAGTGGGAGTTTTTTGGAAATGAAACGTTCTTTTTGATAGTTACTTCAGTTCGCTCAAACTAGAACACATTGTTTGATTTAAGGAAAGCATGCAGGGCTGTAAACATTTATTTTCCTGGGTTATAGTACAAATTGCTAGGAGAGCAATACATTATTTGCCAGATCGGAGAGAACAAAGCTGCCAAATCACTTGAGTGTTTAAAAAAGAAATTAAAGTACAATCTAAAAAGTATTTTTAATTCTAAAAAATGGGTTCTCTCTCCCCCTTCCTGATAAGAAAGAAACATCCTGGGATGAAAGTAGCTTTAGGAGCTATTTTAGGAATTTAAGAATTGTCTTCCTGTATCCTCTTTTTACATGGTCCAGTCAGCTATCTCTCTTGGCCGGCCTTCCCTAAACTTAGTATTCTCCAGATGAATGGTCTTCAAATCCCAGAATTTCAGTAGTAGCCACCCTGGCTCAAAGATTCTGGGAAATGAAAGCTGCACATCTCGAGGACATCTAGGTTGGAGAAGATTTCACTTAGAAAGTTTCGAAAAGGGATAGGGGGAATTCATCGAAAATAGTGGAATATAAATAAATAAATAAATAAATAAATAAAATAACTTTAATTTGTTTGTAGCACCTGGTATTCAGACGTAGACTGCCCTTATATATGCAAGTTCTATGTAGACTTCAGAAGTAATGACTGTGGATACAATTGTTCTCCATAAATGTATTTCCTCTTACACTGATTTAAAGGTTGGTATGAAACCAGCCGTTGTGGCTTCTTTAAAAAACATGGTTTAATACATCGTATAAGTTAAACCCGTGTGTTTAGTTTAAAATGTTAAAATGTTAAAAAATCCAAGGCATGTTGCCTTCTGTCCAGCAAATAATAGTATCTCTTTAAGTTATATGGTACCATCATACTGGATGAAATGGGTGGCACAGTATGTGGTATGAAATTAGCATGTGTTGTTGCATTAGTAAAATTAATTGCTTTTCTTTTATGCAGCTTTACCAACAAGGCCGACTGTGCCAGCTGGGTAGCGAGTTCTGTGAACTAGAAGTTTTTGCAAAGGTGCTTCGAGCTTTAGATAAAAGGTACATTTACAAATGTTGCTTCCCCTTGTGTTATACATTGAATAGTTTTTCCCAGTAAAAACTTCCTTGGCACAGTTCAAATGCTGATAAGCATTTTTAAAGTCCTGTTGATTTAAGTGGGAATAAACTAAGGTTGTCTTTGATTGAGGGAGGGTCAAACTTTTTATGCAGGCTAGCTTGGCCATTGTTGTTGCATTATAACACCCCATCACATGCTAGGCATTTCTGTTAGTGCAGACTAGTAAA